GGATGAAAATCGAGATTTTTTTGTTTTTGGTTTTGGGCGGTTCGGGCTGCAGGGTGGGGATGGGGGAGTTGGCACAACTAGGCACCCTTTATGAGCATTCTGAATGTGTCTGTCTATCAGCCATGAAAAAAAGGTGACTAGGACTTGAGATCTATGTGGTGATGCAGGTGTAATCCAAGTAGATTGAACAAGGCTTTGAGTCAAACAATGGTTTTGAGCTTGTCTTTTGTTACGACTTGATTCTTTTGTTACTCATTTTAGAATATCCAAAAAACTGATGTGTTACAATTTAAATAGAATTAAGTTTACTAGCACATACTTCTTTAAGATTTCGGTTTGAAGCAGTGGATTTTTGTTTCAGGTGAGCAAGGCACTCCTTTCAGAATATGTAGCTGCAAAGAAGAAAAACAAACCTTTCAAAGGTTTGGGATTAGAACACATGAATGGACCCGTCCCTGTAATTCAATCTAATCTTACAAGCACTACCCTCAGGAACAGCCAATTCCAGGTAATGTATATTGTCTACGTTTGTAAGCATATTAACCTTTCTCAACATATGTCATACGCCTAACCAGTTGTGTGCATCAGATGAATGTTCACTGCTTGAGGGAACGAGATCTTCTGAACCGTTTTGCTGCAGAAGCGTCACTTTATCAATCAAAGGGAGAAAGCAAAGAGCGAGCATTTATTCTGGTAGGGATGCTTTTCTGGTAATAAAGTGGGTGCTTTCCTGTTCCACACATGTCATTCTGATTGGTGTTGTTGATGATGTTTTGCTTTAACTATTTGCACCAGAGTTATCAACTTGCAGAAGACTTGGGCAGAGCTTTCTCAGACAGAGCTATTCTGCAGACCTTCATTGATGCTGAGGCAAATGTATCTGCTAGTCCCTTGAAGGTAAGAAATATAGAAATTACTATGGTATTTTTCTACACATTAGCCTAATGATATAGTTCGGAAAGCTTTAAACCATTTTGTGATGTCCTAGCATAATAAGAATGCATAATGACTGAAGGGAGTCAGGTATAAATGAATTGCTGTCGAATTAAGTTTTTTTCTTACGCAAGGAAAAAAAGAATTTGCATCAGAATTAAAAAAAAAAAAAACATATATCTGAAGCTTTGAAGGGAATTATACGTGAGTTGAAGTTCTTCTAACCATGGCTTGGTAAAATCTCTCCGACTCACCAAAAAAAATAAAATAAAATTATGGCAATCTGGCAAGTGGTTAGAACTTGGAAGTGTTTAGAGAAGTGGGTCGTGGAAGAATTATTTGAGCTAATGATATATATTATGAATCGAAGGTCAGAAGGGATGTTTAAAACTTCTTAATCACATCAGAAATTCTACTGCAGTCTTCATTGCTTTTTCCAAAATCTTGACCTCAAAGGAACATCAGCAAATAGCCTAAAATGCCTGGTAGGGAACATGTAAGATGTTATAGAAGGGAGAACCTTGTTGCTGAATTTGTGGGTTTGCTTCCTCTGCAGAATGTCCTCGGTTTGTTGAGATCCATGTATGCCTTGATCTGTTTGGAAGAAGACGCCGCTTTCCTTCGGTACGGGTACTTATCAACAGACAACGCAGCTGCTGTGAGGAACGAAGTGACAAAGCTCTGCGGAGAATTGCGACCACATGCACTTGCACTGGTCAGTTCTCTCGGCATTCCTGACGCCTTTTTGAGCCCCATAGCATTTAACTGGATCGACGCCAATTCATGGTCTTCAGTTCAGAAATAGTGCCTTGAATCGCTCTCTTTTCTTAAGGAGGAGTTTGATTGTTTCCCTTGCTTTATGTCTTAATAAGAAATCGAGGTGACAACCCAAATTGCTGTGATGATGCTCATCTATACGTAAAACCATCTATTAATAAATAATCATCATCGTTCATGTTTATTAGAACCGAGCCACATCACATCTGCTCTTAAATTTACGTGGACTGTGTTGCTTGTGCATCTTGCTTCTGTCAGAAAGTGGATGAACAAGGCTTGTACAAAGAAAAAAAGAAGAAAAGACAACTTCGATTTTGAAAAACAAATATATTTTATTGGGTGGGTTTTTATTTTCTTATTAATGTCTTTTTTTTTTCAACTAAATCACATATTGTTTTTATTAGTAACATGTATCTCTTCATAAAAATCTAATTCCTTTGAATTAAGGAGAAAAAAATGTATTATTGTTTTTTAAATAGAAAGAAAAGCAAATTTTAATAAAAAATATAAAAAATCATGATTTGATAATTTATACGCAATAAAAAAAACATAAAATGAAGATTAATTTAAAATAAAATGTGTAAAAAAATTTTAAAATTTTAAAATAAAAATTGTATTTTCATTTAATATGCATGAAGATGCATTTTTATAATCTTGCAAATTAAGTTCTTATATGATAATTCATTCGATTAATAATGAAAATTGTTATAAAAAAATAATTTCATCTGAAAATTATGCAAGATTTGATAATATTTAAATTATCTTTTAAATTATTTTATTCATAAATAATTTTATAAAATAAAAAAAAACTTCAAAATTTGGAGGGTGATATAAAAAGAGGCATAGGTGTGCTTGTGCCTATAATGGAAGTCACTATCAAGATAAAACCGTAGTGTTTAATGTCTATATATTGAACAATAAAAATAAAAGGTCTAATTACCCTTTTGATTTCTTTCAATTTTTTTCAACAACAAATAAAAATTCTTTTTTAAAATATTGATTTTTAATTCATAGACGAAACACTCTCATCAACTTTGTACATGCAATAGTGCACATGCAAATAAAAAAAAAAAAAAATCAAGTGCAATGATGTTTGAGAAAATTACTTCCACATATCCAGTTTCTAATCCTCCCATTCTTCTTCTGTATGATTCCTTATGGCATTCAGAAAATTACTCTGATAGCCACTGAATCATACAGAAAAGATACTAGTAGGGACCAGTGTGGTTCCTCCCATTTCTCAGACTTGGGTCAATGGCTGACTTGTAACATTCATAGCCCACCAAAATGGCCTCCATTGTTGCAGGTTCCGCTCCGTGAATATCGTACCGTTAGAAGTAGTGCTTCTCATCTTTTTAAAGATGCCGGACCAGTCCTGTAGGCACAAGGGGGAGAACTGTCCTGGAACTACTTTAATCACTGGAAAAAATCAAACCCTTGCACAAAGTAATTTCTAACTCTTTAGTTTACTAACATATGGCTGGGAAAGATGGAAGTGAATAATTGATACTTCTGCCGCTTCCCTGTGATTAATATATCTGTATTTTTCATAGCTTTGGCTGGGAATATGTTCCATACTGATGTTGTCCAGGTATGTTCTTCTTTATATATTTCTTGTTTATATATAATACCATGACTTCTTTTTGTCCAAATGTTTCAGGGATCATCTTCAGAACCTAGTCGTGGTTACTTCGTTGATTCTGCTTTCTTCGGAAAGGATTCTTCTCTCTATAACATTCAAAGTCAGTGTGGATCGAACTCTACGATATCTGTTTCTGTTCCTATTCCTCGGTCATCCTTAAAATTCCAGAAAGGTTTGCACTTCTCCCTAAATATACTGTTGCAAAGGTGAACCAGTTTCTGTAACTGAAGGGTGCATATAAATTAACAACAAACCCGTCGTAGTAATGTGTGAGACAGAAGAGAAAGGGAGGATTAGAAACTGGATTTCACCATTGACCAACCGCTCATCCTACTTCCTCTACGTTCTCGACAGCCTATCTTAGTCTTAGAAGAGTCTTTCAGTGGCATATGTAAAAGTGAGCCGCCAGTTCAGGTACAAGATACTATCATTGTTGCTTGGAAAATTAGACATCAAACCAGTAATCACAATGACATGAATTCCTTCTCTGTTTCGTTTTAAGTTTTTTAAATTGAGCAATGCTTAAATTTGACTGTGGGCTGAAAATAAAACATTTGAAACAATTTTGTGAAACAACTAATCATTCTTCCCTCCTCTGTGTTTTTCGAGTCTATGAGCTACTATTCTAAATCTTTGTCTGCTCGCTTGTATTCTTAAATATAAATGCGGTATGCATTCGAAGTCTAAATTTGTGGCGTGAATCTTCTCTCGAAATAAATAGCCAGATATACATGGGCAATGGAAACGGGAATGCAGAAGGGAAGTCTAATGAGACACTTGGGGGTTGGTATTCCTGATTTCAATACAACTCTTCTGTGTGATTACTGTAAATGGCGCTCATTATGTTTGGAAACCCTAACAGTTTCATTTTTTCTACCACATACGATTTCCTATGCTCCAATGGTTACTAATTTCAATGCGAATGTCTGGTAAAACGGCTCCTATAAGGATGCTTCTGCTCTGCGGGTACCACTAGCAGTGAATTTTGTATAGAAAGCACCTCAACTCTTTGTTCTTGTGATTTCTTAAGCTGATGCTTAAATCTTTTCAGGCACTAAATGCCTACCTTCAGTTGTTTAAAGGGCTTGGTGCAAATGTGACGTTAGGATTTATCAAGGAAATGCCTAAAACTTCAAACGCTCTAATCAAGTTTGATATCGCTTAATTCTCAAATGGGCACCCTCTTCTTTAGATGGGTTATTGTACAACTATTCCCTGCACGCATGTGTGATCCATTTCTTGTCAGGATTTATTTACTATGAGGCAGAATCTTGTTACAAATTTATTGCCAAGTGGGTTAGAAATAGCTCAAGATTTTCAACAAGTCTAGTGTTAAAGAACTATTTTTTTTTTTTTTTTCAGTTAGTTTCCTCCTTTGAAAATGATAACCTTTCTTCTGAATTCATATGGTCTTCAACATCATTTTGCTATAGGTGGTGTCGACATCTCTGGTTTATGAGGGACAACAAATGCTGCGGATCATGATGAAAATGCATGGGCTTTGAGATGGATCTTATTGGTTGATTTCTTATACGTATTTTCTTTCTATATCTGCACTATACATGCTTGTCTTTGGAACATTTGGCTCACTCATTGGTTAGCATTATCCAATCCTCAGTGCTTTCTAAACTAGCCTTCACTGGCTTTGAGTTATTAACATAGCTAAATTGCAGGGTTGAGATTCTTCACCCTGAATGACTACTCCATCCAATTTTTGTTTTATTTCCTCTGTATAAACCTGCAAATTTCCTTGGCGTTTCTATTCTCTGCATTCTCTTCGAACATCAAGACTGCTACAGGTTTGATGTTATAAACTGTTGGACTCATTTGTTAAATGATATCTACTTCAAGATGTTACAAATCTTCCTCGTCTTTGATAGTTACAGTAACAGGCTATTTATGTGTCTTTGGAAGCGGGCTTTTAGGTGAATTTCTTTTCAAGTTCTTCATTGAAGACACCTCTTTCCCATGTCCGTAGAAGAAAATGTGAAACCAAAATACTTTCTATTTCCCCTCAGATTTTTCTAGTTAATTAATGACGTTTGTGGGAGAAGAAACCCTGTTTTCAGATTTGTTGAATACTGCATTTAATTCATTATCTGATATTTTATTCTTTCTACAAAATCGATGAATTGACTATTTGAAGTAATATGATCTTCTTTCAAGATCTATCGGTTATTAGGTCAATTGTGGGGGACTCAGGTTTTTTATATTTTAAAAATATGATGAAATAATTAAATTGTTTTAAAAAATAAAATTTTTTCAAGGGTTTTTTTTAAATTTTTACTTTTTAAAAAATAGTAAAATAACTAAATTACCTCTCAAAACAATTTTTTTTAATTGGCACCTAAAGGTTTTTTGGTATTTTTATCTTAATTGTTTTAGTTATAATCAAATTGATTGTGAAAGAAATTAATATTTTTATAAATATAGATTTTATTTAAAACAAAAACTAATTGATGCATGGATTATATGTGTCAGCATGTTTATTGTATTCTGGCGACATATACGATAAATTTTGGAGGCTAAAAATAGTTTTCCTTAACATTATTGGAATCATTTTGATAAACCTTTCATCCTAAGATGGTGCATTTAGCTTACTGACCTCTAGTTTGATGCCGACGACAACCTTCTTTTTATCTTATCCTTTTTCTTCTTGATTTTCACATTTGACCTTCTAAATTCTCAAACAACCTTAATTTATTTTTCTTTCATATTTGGTTATTATTATTATTTATTTTATTTGAAATAATTTATAAAATTAAAATTATTTTTTTCAATCTCATCCTCCAATTTTTTCATTTGTTAATTTTTTTCTTTATTCTTGTTATTGTTATTTTTTTAATTTGAGATAATTTTTTAAATTGAATTTTTATACAATTTTATTCTTTTTTATTTTTTTTCCATCCTATAAAACTTGATCATCATTTTTTTATTGTTATTATTTACTTTGATAAAAATTTTAAATTTTTTTTTTTTATTTCATCTTTCAACATTAAATTAATTGTGAATTAAGTGTATTGATTAAGCTCAAGTATATGATTTAATGAGTTGCAAATTTAAGAGATTAACCAAGTGTAAGTGAATCACCTGTTTTTCTTCTTCTTCTTTAAGAATTTTGTTTTCCAGTTTTATCCTTCATCATTTATTTTATTGTAGATTGAGCTCCATTATATTTTTTTTATTTCTTTCTATACGATTCACCATTAATTTTGAAAATAATTTGGGTTATCTCATGTCTTTTTATTTATTATTCTTTGTTAAATTTAGTTTTTTTTAAACATGTTTTTGAATTAAATTAAATTAATTGATTAAATATAAGCTTGAATCTCATTTCATGCTATGATATTTTTACTCTAGCAGGGTCTCTTTTAATGTTGCTATGTAGCCTTTTGATATGGCTTTAAAATATTTCAGTGAGCTTTTCCTAGTTGTGAAGAGGTGTCCACGGTAAAGTGAATAGGAGGTTCCAATGAACTTTTTTTTTTTTTGGAGTATAATATTAGCCACTTATTTTTTATTTCATTTATCTATTTTCATTGCTTATTTTTTATTATATTATTGAATTAATTAAACTTACTAAATTCAATCAAGTCAATAAGTCATGTTTTGGATTTTTCTTATTTCCTTAAAAATACTAACCATTATCTAAACATTTTTTTATGTTAGAAAAAAATGATATGTCGACAACATAGCATGGGAGACCATTTTAGTTATTGATATCAAAAATACCTTAAAAAGTTTCGATCTCATAAAACTTATTTTTAATTCAAAACACCCTCTAATTTGTCAAAATACCTAAAATATCAAATCAAAAAAATGTTCTTGAGCAACGTGGATAATATACACTCAATTTATTCAATTATTTTTTAATGTTAGGTTTGATTGTCATACCTTCTACTATCACTAATTTCTAATTAACTTTTTTTTTTTCATTTGATAAAAAGACAAGTTAATTTTTTTTATTACATTATAGAAATGTAATAAGAAGCCCACCAGCTTTGAAACTAAAACGTCTCTACATAAAATAAAATAAATTTATAATCCATAAATTATAAAATATAAAGCAATAAATTTATAATTGATAAACTATAAAAGATAAAGAAAAAAAATATAAGATTTGAAGATTAAATCGCATTTACTGAATTTTAAAAGTTTCAACTCACGACTGTCATATTTAATTTTTTAATTTATGATTATTTATAATATCTATATCATCAAAATTTAACTGATTATACTATGTAAATATTATAGATAGAATATTTTCAACAATTATATTACAGTTGTTATTATTTAATCGATTAAAAAAACAAAAATAAAAACAGTATAATTTAATTTAAACAGGTAGAGTTTTGGAAACATACCTTACAAATGCATGGCTTCAGAATTTCGAGTCCCAATAAAATTAAAGAAATCTCAGAAGATAGGTACAGTTGATCAGATTAAATGCTTAGCTGCCATGATTTTATCCTTTCCTGGACAGCTGTTACAGCCGCCACGTATATTCCCTCTCTCCCTGTTTCAAGAAACGACAGGGCAGAGAAGACCCAGCGAGATACACTCGTCAGAATCTCTTATGGCATTGCCTTCCAGTTTCGTGGTCCAACCACATCGCGAGCGTCGTTGTCTCGGCCCCGCTACCTATTGTGTACAATAATTATTTTTTATTATAAAATATATTAAAATAATATTTTTTATTTTATAACATTTATTTTTAATATTTTTTATCAAAAAAAATATCACACCAAAAAACTAACAAACGTTGTGCCTGGGCAATGATACAAAAAATAAAAAAGGAATCATTGACTTTTGCTAATAGATATCAAAGGAGTGTGTATATGTGTGTGTGTTTTTGTAAGGTGTTGTTAATGATTAGGGTTGTTTTTATATTTCAAAAATGTTTTTGAAAAAATATAAAATTTTACATGTTTTTATATTATTTTAATGTATTTATTTTAAAATTAAAAAAAATTATTTTGATATATTTTTTTTTAAAATAACTAATACTACACTTTGAAATATTTTTTTTAAAAAACTTTATTATTGAAAAATAATTTTAAATCAACTTGAAGAAAGTTAAAAGAAGGATCTACGGTGAGCTCTTCATTTATCATCTTTTTATCAATTAATTTTTAAATTTTTTGATTTAATTAGAGTTGCTAAAAAAAACTATAAAAACTACATAATATCGTAATTTCATAAGTTATAAG